GGACTAGGTGCGTTGCTCTACGTCTTCCTACCAATATGACCATGTTGCGAAAACAAGGTCAGCCAACTTCTATACAACGAATGTAGACTGCGACCACACAAAAGGCCACACCATCTTGGTCTTCATACCTTCCAGGATCCAAAGCTGGAAATTGTGATAAACACTAAGCCTATTGACTTCGGAAAAGGTGTGCTCAACTAGGTAACCTTGAAAACAGGGTCAAGTTGCACAAACGAGATCAAACAACATGTTAATAAAGTGATTCCCATTTAGACCCTGAAATACACACTTGTCGTAGTATATTTTGCCTGTTAATTGAAGTTAAATTACTTTTGTCATCGAATTCCAACATTTCTTGGCATTCTTCTAAGTTTCATAAATTTTATAAATATTCTTGTCTAAATATGACTCATTCTGCTATTTAACAAGCAGACATGTTTATTTTCAGGAAAAGAAATCGCAAGAAGAGCAGAAAGGAAGAATCTGAAACCAAGAGGAGACGTCTACAGTGAGCCTAATCAAACCAGTAGAAACACATTGAAGATCCGAAGAGAAAGTTAATTTCGATGAATCTCCTGAGATAACATTGTTAGAGGACCTTCAGTTCGTATGAAAGTGAGTGAAGAAGAGATTCGTTGGTCGATCTGACCAGACGAGGAGGGATAAATCTCGTTGTACTGCAGCCGTTTGACTTTTAGACGATATTCTTGTTGACGCAGTTCACGAGACTTCCTCCCTCGTTTCGGATTAAAACGGCAGAGCTTTCGTTCATACTTTGATAGACATCATCAAAACTGGATGTCATTCTTGTAAGAGTCTCACGTTAGCACTAAAGCAAGAACACTATTCGGCTCTATCTTACTTCTTATAAAGACTCAATCGAGCCAAAAAATTAAAAATTAAAAACCTAGATATATTCATATAGAGTATTTTGGTTAATTTTCTTTCATACTGGTTCTGTTATTTTTTCTCGATTGTATGAGTATGTATATTTGTGTGTGTATGCAATACGGTTCCTAAATCAGACTTGTCAAATGTTAATTCTCAGGTTCTCATCCTCAAGACCTAATAGCTCAAGAGAAAATCTTTGACGAGACTGCCTAGTTCCGTAGACAAGTATGGTTGAGATAAGGAAATATGAGTTTTTTAGCACTTTCATTCACAATGGAGGTCCCCCTAACAGTAGAACCACAGCATTTGTGGGTTTGCACACAAGATACTAGAGCTCAAGAAGTCATAGACTTTGTATTCGGGATAGGAACAGGTTAGACGCTACGGAGACTGGAGCTAGTTGGCTGACACTAAACGCATTTGATAATAACCGTGGTTCATGAAGCAAAGGCTTGACGATCAGCATTACTCGGACTCAAGTCAATCCCCCATCCAGATTTAGAATCTAGAGTTTGTCGGCCTACTCAACGAGGCATAAGACAGAGTGTAGGAAATAACGCCTCGAGTAGCACAGAAGACGTTTCTGTGTCTGAGTGAAATACCTGAACCGGAGAGATAGCCCACGAATGCTACGGGGCAAGAGAGAGGCTCTGATAGGACGAATAGGAAGAGGATTGCGGAATAATATGGCCAGTTCTGGTCAACGTCGCCAATACAATGGTAGGGGGTTATGAGGTCTCATGGAATACATACGAAGAAAAGTTGGGTTTCGAGGAATCTCTTTTTTCATAATTGTTCGGCTTACTTCCATTTCGAGTGGAAGTGTGCGGTGAAGATATTCCAAGGTCGGTTCCACCAGAAGAAAACGGCCGATTCCTCTTGACCAGCTGTCCATTGGCTTTACTGACAGATTCATACTGACGCTGTTTCCGAGGCAATCTCTTTAGATTCCGGTGAAAAGGTGCTAAGCTTTCGTGCGTCATATGACGGACATCATCAGAGCAAGGTAACATCTTCGCAACAGAATTCAAGCTAAAGACTCGTCTTCTGGTGGAACTGATCTTTGAATCTCTTCACCCAACACTTCCACTCAAAATGGAAGTAAGCTCAACAACCATGGAATACACTCAAAAGGGCACACCATACCACATTTAAAGAAGCAATTAATACATTGTGATAGTGAAGTGGTGGTATGAGGACATAGGAAAACTGAATAGCTCAGGACAGAATGAAAGATACCACAACTCTTTAGCAGACAAATGATCACAGAATCGACTTCACATGTCTTTGGGGCAAGCTGTGCTAAAATGGTCTGGGAATGTACCAGGTCCACGGTCTGACTCTGGAAATGATCATACATTCTATGGACTCCGGACAAGGTGACAATGTGTGAGATGTATTCACCCTATTTCGTTTAAGGTGATGAAAGACTGGTAGTAGAATTTAGCCACAATGATATGAGTAGAGCCGATGTTTCCATTTAATTTCACATTACCTTGCTTTCCCAAAGGTTGATCGCATCCAGACATCAGTGGACTGCAGTTTCGACCTCACATTGGTCTCATAAACACCCCCAGCGGGAGTCGAATCGTGACAAGTTAACCAATCGGCCACATTGCCACGAGTGCTGTTGGGTCACAGGGCAGATGTGAATTTCAAGGAAGGCCAGGCATTTTGCCAGATCATATTCTTTGGTGGGATTGTCGATGAAGCAAACGTATATTTGCTATAACATTCAATTAGGTTACTTATTTTTCGTGTTTGATTATAGTTTCGAGACTACTCGACCTCTAGTCAAATACGAAAAATAAGATGACAATATGACCATGATGGGAAAACGAGGTCAATCAACTATTAGTTTCATTATAGTTTCAGCCCCAGGAATACATGTCCAGTCCAACGGATTCATCACAGTAATGTACATTTGGCACGGATCTACTGATCTGACTGTCGCTGAGGAGGCATTAATTGTTTTCTGAATGATTCGTCATCAACTAGTTATAAGAATTAATATCATTCGAATTGGACAATTATAAAAGCCAGGTCTTGTGGATCTGAATGAGCAGAATGTAAAATGTTGTAATGGGAAAAAGAACGAATCAGATTGCATATTTCAGTAAGTTCTAACTAAGTATTTTCTTCTGGATAGCTATTTATTCTTGAATTGGCCTGAACAGTATCGTCATTATGATCTGGATCATAATCCTTGGCGAAGAATTTGAAACTAAAACACTTTTCCGCTTACAACCAACAATCTTAACTCCATTCCATCACTGCGTTTGTATGCAACTTAAGGAAATTCAGATCTTCCCCAACTCAAATATATGATGAGAATAAATATCACAGAACAAATTGCTTCAAGTTTGCTGGATAAAGAAATAAATTCATAGCAATGAGCCAATATTTATTCGGCCTATCTAAACCTGATGAAAAATAATAGTGAGTATCACTAAAAGCTGCAATATTTCGATATAAGTATATGCTCTCAGTAAAAATATCATAGTGGAATTACAAGGCAGATTTGAGAATACTTCTTGATTCGTGATGACAAAAGGTATTATCAAAGTCTAGAGTATAAATTAGTCCAATCTTCTAGTCAGCCATCTAAAAGAGCATCCCTGAAACAATTAAATTAACTTTAATTCTGGTACAAAAGCCTGTATAATATCGTTGTCTTCTTCTATAAAATAATGCACAAATGCCTTATCAATGCTGTTATTAATGATTCGCACAGACAGGTCCTAAAAAATATGTATACCTATTTAAATATATATTGTGCATACTGCATGGAGCTGATATATGCTGCATATGTTTTGCGAATAGAAGTAGTCGGACCTTGTTTAATATAACAAATTGTTGTCTAGTATTAGTGCGGTGCTGTTTACATTGCTATATCAGGAGTTAAAAGAGCTAAACTTTTAAATATACTATCTCCAAATGTGTTACAACTTGTCAGACTGGATAAACAACATTTTATTTTTTGGTTAACCCATTAAATTGGCACGAAAGAATTGCATTTAGACTTCATACTTCTCATACAAATAAAATAATATTTTTTTTGATCCAGCCTTTTTATATTTGTCCAGCTAGTCTCAGGTCATTGCAATTTTACTCCTCTACTTGGTATATTTTAAGCTCAGAGCTAGTCTTAATAAATAGTTCTATTGAGTAAACCATAAAGTTAATAAAATAGTTATATTTACGACCAGTTCAAACCTCAAGTTAATGTCTCACATAATGCGAACGATTGGTAGCCGGATTAAGGAGGCTACTCCTTATCTCCAAAGGAACTTGCAATCATAGCATGAAGCATGCGAATATCATTTGTTGAAACTTTACCCCGACAAAAATAATTCATAAGTTCGCCTTAAATTGCTCTCTTCTTAGCCCTGAAAATTTATGATAAAATTGATTATTCATCAGTGGCCTTGGGGATTGTAGAGCTAAATCTTGTTTAATATCATTTTATAGAAAAGGGTTTTGACGGATGCCTTGAGCAGCTTTCATACCCGAAAGCATTTTGCCACGATATTGTCATCTTAGTAGATCAGAGTAGACTGAATCGTACATATATAAATATAAATAAATAAATACATAAATAAATACATAAATAAATAAATAAATATGTAATAGAATATTTATTTATTTATATCTGCAAGCAGGTGAATCAGAGGTTAAACGCGCTCCTCGGTGAGGCGATAGGACAGAAAGTGTAGTGCTGGTAGAACCACTTGTCTCTTTGACAAGTTGTAGCTTAGTGCTGAGAATGGCAAGACTAACTGATGTTGCCGATTGGTGAAATGCCTGGAAATTTTCCGAGTTAATGGTTTGCTGCTGGGAAATATGATAATTATAAAAGTAGAGGAGTTTGGACAAGGTGCAGCTAATTAAGTCACCCTGACAACACGACCAAGTTGCGAAAGTGAGGCCAGCCCACTTTTATGCATCGAAAGAAGACTGTGACCATACAAAAGGTCATATAGTCTTGGTATTCAAATATTTGATTAATATAAGCTAGATTTATCATTTTATTTTTTTAAAGAAATGTATATCTGTGAATTATTTTAATAAGCTCTAATACATTTATTAAATTCTCAGCCAAATTAATCTAGATAAGTTAAATATATTTACTGCAGATAGGATAGATGACTCAAATTAATTCAATATTTTAATCTAAGCTTTAAACCTTGATTCGGACTTGCATTTCTTGCAGCCCAAATTATCGAAACCTCCACATACTTGATAATTGCGACCACATTAATAGATAATGTTGTAGTAACCCGATGTGGAGAATGGGTTAACTTAATATTGAAGTCAACTGGTTAATTAAGAACTATCCTTGCCATGCTGCCATATAGTAAAGTAGTCAGCCATGCATCTAACTAACAGTTTGGGTGTCAATCTTACCTCTTCCACGAAGTGTTCCTCCATTCTTGACATTTAATTATTATCCAAAACGGGAGCCAAGCAAGATACCATTGCTAGGCCTTGTACATGTT